CTCTCTCTCTCTCTCCCTCTCTCTCTCCCTGCCTCTATCTGTCTCCCCCCTCTCTCTCCAGATCTTGACAATATAATTTGAATTATAAATTATTGTATACACGGTATCGGCCTGGTCACTTTCACGCTGGCGTAGGGCCTGTATCGGTTCTTCTTTGTAAACCTCTGCCAGCGACTTCTTATTCTGTTCTGTGATCATAAACTTTATTATTTTTCTGAGAGAATGACAGCTACCACTACTGCGAGCACACGACACACACTCTTTCTTTTCCATTGATTGTTTGTGTCTGTCTACCCTACTACTCTTTCCTTGCACTAAAATACTTTTTTGAGTGTCAACGTGTTTCTGTTTGAGCAAACAGACAAGTAGCCTTCGTAGGGAAAAGTAGAGAGAGGAAGGTAGGGCATGGCTTTAAAAACTACTTGTTTTTTTAGTTTTGTATAGACATTTCAAGTCTTTCCACATGGAACTGAGCACTTATTTGATAAATTGAAAGGTGACATAGCGTCTTGAAAAATGACCTCAAACATCAATCGAGCCCATTTTTTTCTCTCACAAAGGTTCAAGTAACACCTCAAGGTTATACATAGATCTAGCTATGCACTAGGCCAGAGAATAGTATTAATACATTTACTTGGGCTACGAACTGAGGACAAGTTTGCACGCTCAAATGAATTTGTAAGAAGTGGCTCCTAATAAAAGCCAATAGTTTATCGTCGCCACAAAGCTTAAGGCCTCTGGCCAACAGTCTCAGCGAAGTTCGCGCACCACAGTTCCCCGGGGTAGGCCCCGACGGATAGCCCCTACACAAATAAAACGGGCCCGAGTACTATACACTCGACTAGCTTTAGAGGGGGATAGGGAGTGAAGAGTGAAGACCAGTTGGAAGTTGCGATAACGAATTTTAGGGCTCGATTGATGTTTGACGTCATTTGAGCCCACTGTAGTAAGTGGGATATGGCGAGTGTGTCCGTGTGTCCCCGTGTGGGGCAATAACGATGTCGTGACTATATGTGCTTAACTTGGGTGTGTCGACATGTTTACTCTAGACAGTTAGGGCTTGTCTTTAAATCAGATATTCCCTTAGCGAGAAGTGGAGAGGACTGTGATGGGACGTGGGTGGACATAATGTAGACCACGCCAAAGGTCTTGTTCGTTTCAGTTATAATGGATGTAGTGTACAGAAATTTTTCCTTATAAACAAAATCGTAGAAGGTAAGTCAGCTCTTATTGTTATTAGTCAGTCAATTAATGAATTCTTCCGTGCTATAATAACGGATTATTGAGTCCTGTCTTGGCAAAGTTTTTCTTTTTCTAGAAAGATATTACTAATGATAGAATTGTGCCTGTAAACTGGCATAGTAGTATGACATCAACCTGTCTGTACTTGGACAGGACTGTTGATTAATAAATTTTATAGACTATATTATTATGATATAGACCCCACCCCCCGTCTCTCTCTCTCTCTCTCTCTCTCTCTCTCTCTCTCTCTCTCTCTCTCTCTCTCTCTCTCTCTCTCTCTCTCTCTCTCTCTCTCTCTCTCTCTCTCTCTCTCTCTCTCTCTCTCCCTCTCCGTATCTCCCTATCTCTCTCTCTCTCTCTCTCTCTCTCTCTCTCTCTCTCTCTCTCTCTCTATCTCTCCCTCCCTCTCTCTATCTTTCTCTTTAAATCTATCTATCTTTCTTTCTCTCTATCTCTCTTTCATTTTCTACACTCACACACACATGCACACAAACACACACACACACACACACACACACACACACCACACACTAACACACACACACACACACACACACACACACACACACACACACACACACATTATAGGCTCTACAGGTACTGGTTATATTTGATAATTGAGAGACAGTTGTAAAATTAACAATGTGTCTGTCTGTCTGTCTGTCTGTCTGTCTGTCTGTCTGTCTGTCTGTCTGTCTGTTCACCCATCCATTCATCATTATTTAGGATTTGAATCCACGACCGTACGGTTGACAGTCTGAGAGCCTAACAGCTAGACCACCAAGTTCGCATTTTATATAATTGATGCTTTCTGCAGTCAATTATAGCGGCAAAATTACGCATTTTCGTCTGGTTTTTACTTACTTGCTCAATTATTTGGAATCATGAGAAATGAGAATGCTTCCAGTAATATAAAATAAGGATTGAAATAACAAATAAATGGAGATCTTATTTTGTTCATTTCAGTTGGGTTTAAAAAAAAATGATGACAAGTGGCTCTAAGAGATTTAAGCATTTGTAGGCTTTTGTTACTCGACATATATGAATAAAAAAATATTTTTTTAGTCACTGGGCTTTATCTTAACTTGTTTCCTCTTGTTTGTTTCTATTTCAACAGATGTTCAAGGGGCAGCTACAAGTGTCATGGCCCCTGTGTTTGTTCGCCCTCCTTTGTATAGGAAACTTTGTCTCAACTAGGGCCGCTGAAAATTATGGCCACTATCTCAATCAGTTTGCCATCAGGCTGAAATCAGGCAACCTGGAAACTGCTCAGAAGATTGCAAGAGAACATGGACTTATTGTGAAAAGAGAGGTGCCTTGTCTTGACTTAATATTCATTGTTATAGTTTTCTAAATTTATGAAAGCATGCATACACATATTTTATGATCAAATAAGGTAGTGCTTGATAATGATGAAGCCCACGTGGGACGCTCAATGTTAAAAACAATCAGGAAACGACAAATGTAGTTTTTGGGACTCCTGAATAGACATAAGGGTCTTGAACATTTAGCTCTCACTGGCAAAATTGAGGGCAAGCGAGGCAGGGGTAGGCCCAGAACAACATACTTAGGGAACCTGAACAAATGGGTAACAGGGAAAGATCAGGGAAACGTAACTTTTTTGAGAGCATCCGAGCAAAGAAATGAATTGAAAACCATGATCGCCGATGTCCGCCGCAGATCTGGCACTGGATAATGATGCATACACATATATAATGGGTACTTTTGGTCCAAGAAAATGTGTGAATAAATAGGCTTATATGCTGTAATCAGAGATAATGAAATAAGGTGAATGTTAAAAACAATGACAGCATTATGGTAAGTCAAAAGAAGTAATTTTGTTGTTTTAGTATGTTCATTCTGGACAACATCAATTCATCTGAGGGTTTGTTACTATTTCACAGTAAACACCTGCCCACATACTCACATGTGCATACACAAATATATATTCTTCAAGAAAGATATAAAATATATTCCGCTACACATCCGCACATACATAACAAGAACTCACACTCACACAGACACACACATTCACAGACACATAGACACCCACACCCACACACACACACACACACACACACACACACACACACACACACACACACACATCCACATTCATATTTCTGTTTACTCTCTCTCTCGTTCACTCCCTCTCTCACATACACAATACACTTATACACACACAATCATACATAATATAAAAGTACAATTTTTTCTCTCTTTCTCTCTTTCTCTCTTGCTTTCTCTCTCTCTCTCTCTCTCTCTCTCTCTCTCTCTCTCTCTCTCTCTCTCTCTCTCACACACACACACACACACACACACACGTACACACACACAGCATATAATATAAGCATGTATGTATTGTATGTATGTGTCTGTGCTTGTATATAAACACATGCTCAAACGTAAATTCATATCTTCTCTGAGGCGATTTTTTTTCTTTTTTCTAAAGACCATGAATAATTTAAGCCGACAGTAGTGTGAAGATGGAGGTCCATGGTCGCCCACGCCCAGTCGGCAAGGCACCGGATGATGATGATGAGTGTGAAGATTATAATCTCTTGGGTTATGACTTTTCCTCCATCCTAAACCTTTTTTTTTCAGCTTCCAAACATCAACATATTTTTGCTGGAGCATCCGAAGGTTCACTATCGAGCAAAAAGAAGTGCTGAGAATGAGCTCAAGTTTCTTCAAAATGATGAACGGGTTAGTAGCGGTATGCTATAGATCCAGTTTATAATTAATAACCTGGGTTGTTTTGGGGAGTTTTTAAGTTTCACTGCTAATTTGGTGCAGTCCTATTAGAGATGGGTGTTAAATTCGGAGGTCCTACCTTATATGTGTGTATGTCAGTGTGTGTATGCCTGTTTGTGTGTGTTTGTTTGTGCGAGCGTTTATGTAACTTCAACAAGGTCTGCATCACTCTCTCTTACCAGATCAACCATTCGTTGTTTGTAGTCATAATATAGGTTAGTTTCTAATCAAAACATATTAGTACCCATTCTTCTTTTTCTCCCCATCCATCTTTTTCTCCCATTTCCCATTCTTATATAGGCCTATCCTCTCTCATATCTCTCTCTCTCTCTCTCTCTCTCTCTCTCTCTCTCTCTCTCTCTCTCTCTCAAATATGGAATTGAAAGATGAAATATATGACATATGTTCCCCTGTACCCGTTCCTCCACTACCCTTCCTCCACTCATACCCCACTCTCTCATTTATGTCTAATCAAAGTACATACTTGGTAAAAATTGTGTGTTTGACTGTTTCAGGTAGCACATGCTCAGCAAGAGGTGGTTCTACATCGAGTGAAACGGAGAAATGTGATATACGACAAACAATTGGAACTGCCCATCCGATCAATCGAAGATGATTCTTTGTATACACGAGTCGAGCCCTCAAATTTGGCCACCAGAGACAACATCTATGGAGTCAGTGTCAAGTTTGAGGATCCCAAATTCAAAGACATGTGGTATTTGGTAAGCATGCAGAACGCTTTTGACATATTTGCTGATCCTGATGGTGAAGCTTTTTTAGCCCAAGTAATATATGGTCAGCCAGCTGTTCAGATCAACTATGCCCAAAATAGTAAAATTGTACAAAATTGCAGTTATTTGTGTTATCTGTTGCATATACTAGTGATATATATTTGGTGATGTTTTTCCTACTTCGTAAGGCGACCACAAAGGCTGAGACATTTTGCCTTTATCTGAGAAGGCAAGGTGTTTCATGTAACCTACCCTTAAAACAGGGGTGTGGCTGAAAGACAATAGTAGGCAGGAGCAAGAGTAGCAGTAAAAAGAGGAGTAATGGAGAGGGGAGCAGAGAAAGGGGTGGCAATGAGAGGAGCGGGGAGAAAATAGAGAAGAAAGCAGATTTTAAAAAACCAGGACTAGAGATCAGGAAATGAGTGTTAAAGGGAACATTTTACTGAACAAAATTTCTTTCGTTGCTGGTAGTATAGCACTTGATATCTACGAGTTACCTTATTACCTCTTTTAGTTTCCATAAGCAATGCACCATAGTGCCTTCCTCTGACATGTTTTCCCCCCGTTTCTAGGCAAATATATAGGGTAGTCTATACAGAGAAAGTGTAACAACATACTTAAAGCACAAAATCTGTTCTATGTGAATTTACTTCTTTTTTTAAAATAGTTTTTTTTTTGCTTGAGGTCTTCAATTTTCTTTATCAATGTCAAACTAAAGCCCTGGGAATTTGTCTGCATTGCACTTTGATCAACGGGTATATTTCCGTCTCGCTGATAAAATGAATTATTTTCTCAGATATTTTCTATACATGTGAAACTCAAGCTATGTCATTGTCATAAGGTAGTCACATCATATTTTGCTATATGAAGATAGACTGGTTTTTAGAATTAACTGTAATAAAATTCAACCACAAATAGCGCAACATGTAGTCTACTGTCCTTACCAGAAAATGTATCCTCTTTTAAAAGCTCAGGTGTACATGTTTCCCTCTTCTCACTTTTTGTATATGTATTTCAATATTTTATCTCTTTGTATTTATGTACCGTATTTACATATTTTTAATATATATGTTATGCTATTGTAAACCAAATTTTCCCAAAAGAATCAATAAAAGAGGCATCATATTTATTTTTATTCTTTTATTCCTCTCCTCTGCTTTGAATTTTCAGGTTAACCGAGGTCAGAGTGGTGGTGAGAAAGGGCTGGATATGAATGTTGCAGTGGTATGGCAGAATGGCTTCACTGGAAAAGGTGTTGTTGTCTGCATTCTAGATGATGGCATAGACCACACTCACCCAGATCTGTCTGAGAATTATGTGAGTGATAAAAATCGTTAATTAGTGTAAGAGAAACCTGCTTTCCTGAAAAGGAAATTTCAATTGGATGAAGGTTTATTTCATATAGGTGTGGGATACTGCAATAGGGGTCACGGTTTCTCGTATTCATGTTCAAACTGGCAGTAAAAATTAGATGAGAAATAATAGTATCTTTTTAAAAGTGCTTTTCTGTCGAGACTTCATAAGAAATCTGTATTAGTATTAGCAGAAAGGAAATGGCAGCAGTTAGAAAAGTATTTATGTGGCTCGTGGTTTCTTTGAAGGATATTGGCTTGCAAAAATGTGTACATTTGTCATGTATTTTTTCTGTGATTTCAATGTTTAGAATAGACCATGGATTCAATCAGCTTTCACATGACGAGTTTCTGGGCTTAAGAACTCTATAAAGCCAAAAAAAATAACCCTCTAACACTTTGAGCCCTCGTCCCCTAAGGCTAATTACAGGAACTCTGCAACTGAGCTCTTCGGGGGTTGACGGCTTGATTTGCACTCCATCATACTAAAGCATGTATTTAGTTCTCAATGTTAGGTTCAGGCTATGTTTATAGATCATTGCGTGGTGACTGATGATGATTGTGAAAAGTACATGACAAAGGAACACAAGACCATTGTGTGAGACAAATTTTAAATTTTAAATATAGGTATTTTAAAATGCCCATTGATATATTAAGATAATTTAGGAAGGGGGTTTTCTACCCTGCTTGTCAGGGTCAACCTGGCCTGAATGAGATATAACATCCTAGCAGAAAGACTGAGATACTCGATAAACATTTCTCCTTACTCGCGAATCGAACTCGGATCTCCTGCACGCTGTTCTACACCATTGACGCTGGTCATTGTGTGAGTGAGAAGTAACAGCTAGAAGGGTTATTTTATCAGGTGCTCAGGTTACAACATAGTTGGCATTTTTTTTCTGGTCTTATTGATATACATGCATGGCACTGAGAAGGGTATAGGTAAAGTATGCCCAGGTGTGTGTTTGGGTCCAATACTTTTTAAAAGTACTGATGCTCACTCAGTTATGTCAGTCTATTTTTTAAAAAAATGTCTTTGCGGGTTAACCATGACGTAATGCTCATAAATATATTTCTCAATATACCTCCTTTTTCTTTTTTCTTTTGTCAGGATCCTGAAGCAAGCACAGATCTAAATGACAAAAGGGACCCACTGGAGGATCCTATGCCAGATACAAGTAATATTGACAACAGGTGAGCAAACTACACTTTTCTCATTATAACTGATGTTTCAGTCATATTCAAAGATTGGAAAATACTATCCAGCCACAGAAGCCAAAATTGGTTTGTTGCAATATATTTTCTAGGGGCACTGATGACCATGATTGCTGGAATTCCCAAATCTATTAACTGTACATTTTTTTACAGTTTCATTTTGAAGCTGTTTCCTTCTGTGTCTGCATAAATACAAACAAAATACTGATAGGTCTACTTTCGAATGTATAAGTATATGAGCGTGACCATAAATGCACACACTCACACATGTGAACACAGAGATACCCATGTACACATAAACACTGGGCATATAAAAAGCTTTTTCATTCGTGTTGCTTTTGATGAAAGAAATACCCATCAGTCTTGAATAGAAGTCGAGATATTTGTGATTGAAGGGGTGAGGATCGACAGGTTTCAGATGTAAAATTAGAGAGAAAATGTCCACCACAGTTTGGTACTTTCATACCTTGAGAGTCCTTGGAAACAGAAAGTTTGCAATTTCTGTGCCTTTAATCAATGTTTTCTGTAAAATCCACAATGAAATATGTTTTTAATTTGATGTATAAAGTGTTGAGCCAAAAACTAAAAATTCGATAAAAATTGCCAAACTAGCTGAAAATTGCTGGTTTCTTTGATTTAATTATTTTAACGAACGCTTGATTTCATCACGATGCCTCACATATATTATTATGCACATGCACACACACACACATGCATGCACACACACAAATAGACACTCACATGTACACACATACATGTGCACATGCTTGTGTGCCAGAAAAAAAACTCACATTTGCAAACACAAGATATATATAGGCCTACCCTTATATTATCTGACAACTTATATGCCTACGATCTAGAATAGCGCAAAAACATGATGGCAAGCCCTTTTCGCAATTTTTGCTGATAATTAAAAAATCCGCTTAACAAGAAATGCTGCATTTGTGTTGTAATGTTTTGTTTTTGTGTACTTTATCTTATCTGTTAATGTTATCAGTTTGTATCATGTTATTGTGGATAGCATGCCTTTTCTGTCTAAAGCCTCAAGCATTCTGAAAAATGTGCCTATATGTTACTTAGTGGTTCTAATTTATGTTGTCTTATTTTTTTTTGCTCCTGCAAAGGATGTTTCAAAATGGACAGGTAATTTTTGTTGTTTATTATTGTTTTCCGTTGTGATTACTACATCAAACTTTTTTATGTTGAGTGAATTGTCAGTGTGATGTTTTCTCAAACTTTTTTTTTCTATTGCTGTGCATTACCCTAGTTTGAGAGAATGATAATGAAATCAAATGGAGAAAAAATGAAATACAAGATGGGAGCCCCTCTTCTTGCCTTCATTTGGTTTATTTGGAACTGATTTCTTTTGTTTGATATTGCATGCTTCTCTTTTACTCTGCTTACTTGATACTCAGCGCCTTTAGGTGTGATATGCGGGGGGAGGGGGGTGTCTAAATTTTATTCTCCAGATTTTGTATATATTTAAATATAGTAAAGTCTAATAACAGAATGGTTTATTTCTTAATTAGGCACTTTTACCTGTTCGAGAGAAACATCTGTTACAAGAAGGATTTTATTCAAAACCAAGAGACATTTTTGTCTTATTATATATTGATAATTTAGGAGTTAAAAAATTATTTGTGACACAGTAGATTAAGATAAGTTATTAGAAACTGAACATATTTATACCGTAGGCTCTTTGATTAATATGTCTATGGTAAATTAGGGAAGAGGGCCAAAATTATGAGAAGAAGACTAAAAATTTGAAGATTTGATGAATCTTAATTTCTTTGAAAGGATATTTTATTACTGTGTACTGTAGTATTTTCTTCATTATAGGAACCTCATAATATGAGCAGTAAATTTTCCATCAGTTTGAATCAACCAATGTATGTTTTAATTCAAACAAAATATGAAATGGGGTACACTTTTTTTCCTCCCCCAGCCATGGGACTCACTGTGCTGGTGAAGTTGCTGCCGCAGCAAATAATGATGTCTGTGGTGTTGGTGTAGCCTACAACGCAAAAATTGGAGGTAAACCATTGCTTCTGGTACTTTAACACTTTGCAGTTGCTTGGCGTAATAATGCTACCCTGGAAATTATCAGTTCCGTTCTCCTGGCGCTGTTCCGTGACAGGCCCGAGAAGTCTGTTGTCGTTGTATGCGTGAAAAGGAACAGTGTCATATCGTCGATGGGATTCACAAACCGGCTACATGCAGAAAAGCAAATTTTACAGGAGGGACAAAAAACTGATTATTTTTTAAACGCGCAGCACAATCTTTCATATTTTTATACAAAAGGTTAAGTTATAAGTGTTGGGACCAAATACTACTTGATTTTTCTTAAATACCACAACCGATAGTTTTATTTCGCATGTAGCCGGTTATGGAATCACAAAAAATGTGCAGCACAATGCAGGTGGCCGGTTCTCTGCAGGTGGCCGGTTC